TGTTTGCAAGCAAATAGCTGAACTCAGAGAGACCAAGGACTCCATAAATATATTAATGTTTTTATACTGCTAGCTTTTTACAGGATTATAATTCAAAACCTCCTTTGGTGTCAGTGAATGTTTGCTTCCATAAGTGGGGAACGGACTAAATCAGATCTGGTTCTACTAGAACCCCAAAATCCATTAAGAAAAATCTAAGGCAAAATTTGTATATTTTGAATTTAAAGCTATTAAAATTGTTTTCAATAAAAGAAATAAGAAAAACTTTCTTCATTGTAAGGAAAAGTTAAAGTTTTGCAGACATTTTTCACTTCAATGAAGTTTAAAACAGAGGATGAAGAGAATGTCAGTTTTTGCTGTTAAAATTGGGAGTCAACAACCTTAGCGGATTTACTACAAATCGTTTAGAGAACTACTAATAAAACTAACTTGTTCCTTTCCCCCAGACTTGTTGCATTTATGAAAAGAATGCTAGTAGAGGAGAATTTTCCACGCACACAAACAGCACTTTCAACTGTCATTCTAATTAGCATCATGACAGCAAAACTGAAATTGCAGGCTATAGAGGAACCCCTGTCACTATTTCTTTTGCAAAATTTTCTGGTCCAAACCAAACTATTTCCTTTAATATGTGGCTTGTGAAAAAAAAAAGTAGCATTCTGATTTACAACAACAATTATTCAGAAAAACTGAAATTGAGTTCAATAGCAACTGAAATGCCACATGATGCCCATCTCTATCTTAAAGGATTTTATCCTTAGCAATAACGTTTGTCTCAGGATAAGGAGTCCAGAGATCTAAAACATATTTCATCACACAAACCAATTATTTTATTAATATAGTGCAAAGATTCCCAAATGATCTCAGGTCACAGTACCCTTACTGTCTCAGTAATCTTTTTCACAGCACTCTAGACTAGTAATTCACACAGTGTCCATGGATGATGAGTATTGCTGTTTTTCCTTGAAAAATTAAAAGAAAATAACCCATGAATCTCCTATGGATTTGCTGCAGCACATAGATATAGAGGTTTTATGGTATCTTGGTAAGAAACAAGCTTACTATAAGAACATTCCATCATTCCAGATCTAAATAAGTATTAGAAACTACTCTTTGTTAGGCACAATCAACTTTTAATAACTAGAGAAATTTCTCAATGAACAGATCTGGGGGAAAATAAATATGCTTTTAACTGAAGAATGTCATAACTTTTAACCATGCTGTTGGTATGCAAACACAATCACCCAGTTTGAAGATGTATAAATTTAGGGCAGGGTCACATTTAGTGATTAGAAGCAACGTCTCTGTCAACTCAATCTAAATCTTTCCATAGTTCCCTTTAAAAAAAAAGCTGTCTTGCTTCCTATAGTGTATGTCCAAGCGGAACTTTCTTTAATTCTGACATCATCAGTATAACTATATATGTTCCCCCAGTAGAAGGTAGCAAATAGTTTTATATAGTATTTTATTTGGGGTGCTGTCCACAAATAACTAGTGCTGAATTGCCCCAGGCAATTTGTGGTTCTATTTTCTTTTTAAACTGGGGTGATGGAATGATGGAGACAACTGAACTTGAGTTTTTGTCTTTAAGTGTGTGTTCATATTACTTTACTAGTCTGGGTTATGCAGTAAAAAAAAATTGGACAACAATCTGTAAAGAGGAGAAAACAAAACTGATCCATTATTTACCAGCTTCAGTAGTCAGACATACAGCAGTCAAATAAATAAAAATCCCTTTTTACTTTGTTCTTTGGAAGAAGAATGGACATAGGCCTGATTCTTTTTTATTTCTGATTTCCAGTTGTTTTTCTCTATATCTTAAGCAGACTTTACTCTGTTTTCAAAATGCAATGTCAATAGGCATCATTTATAGCAGAGGAGGTATCCCACAAAAGAAAAACACAATCAGGTCTTTTCTTAACAATAGATCATAGAAATCAAAATGCCTGGCTGTCTGGGTTAGTCAACCCAGGATACATTACAACCCACTTACTTCTCCTGGGTCTAGCAGAATTTTCCCACCTGTCACTACTTTCTCCTTTTGGGCCAGTCATTTTATACCAATAGTATATATGTATGCTTTACAAGAAGAAACACATAGAATAATTTACAGGACCACATTATAAAAAGGGACCTTTCAGTAAAAGAATCTTACTGAAGATGGGTACACAGTCACATTAAAAAAAAACCCTAGTTCCTTTTTGGTTGTTTCCAGAACTTCCCTTCAGCCATAATTGCTGCAAATGTTCCACATTTTTGCCTGTGGAAGAATGAGCAACACTTCCTGCCTATATGTATAACAAATGCCTCAAATGGATTTGTTTATTGGAGCAAACCCCCGACAAATGTTGAGTAACCTCCATCTACCCAAAGGTCGCCCACCCTGGGCTAGAGAATTAAGGAATTCTTTCCTGCTGTAGCAAATTACCTTGTCTTTCAAGGATATATACTTTAAAAGTCTTACTTGACTTGGCTACTATTTTGTGCCAACAGCCAGATTCATCTGCATAGTTAATGATTCCAAGAGTACCTGGAAGTATGATATGAATGCCTATATACTTTTACAATCACTGTCCAATATTTCTTCTAAATGAAAATAAAACTGGATAAAATTGTTCTGAACTAGCTCTCACTCTTCTGCATTCCTTTATTTAAGCAACCAAGCAATACAGAAATAAAAACACTTGACTCATCTCATTGCCTTTCCCAGTCAAGGTAATTTAATGCGAATCACATAAAGGAAGACATAAGGCTATAATGCTACCTAGACATTTAGCACACACACACCACACATCCACAGATTTGGCTATGAAGCTTTCCAAATAACTAAGCTGATTTTCATTGTTTTCCCGAATACATTCAGTGGCAGCCTCAAAAAAGAAACTAAAAATGTGCGATACTCAGCCTACAAAAAATCCCTCCCCCCAACATAGGAATCCGCTTTATACTGAACCACTCTGTAAGTACATCCAGCTCAATACTATCTATACATTAATTTTCTTTTGTAAATACACTTAATTTGGTTATAGGATGAATCTATTTACGGTAGATAACTGCATTTGCACAATATATTGAATCATTAAGATGTGATTCACGTCTGATTACTTGCAACAACACAAAAAGCAAGTTTACCATGTTGTACAAATACAGTCACCTGCATGTTTAACTGACCTGCTTAAATATATTGTGAAAATTCAGCCACTGTATCGGACTTCAACTCCATACTTCCATAGCCAGGAAACTGTATATCTTCTTTTATAGCAATGAGAAGGAAAAGAGCCTAAATATAGGTGAAATGTCAAACCACGTGCAAGATTTTACTAGCTCTTGACTGCCTTGGGGCCTCTTCTGTCATCAGCTCCAAGAAGAGAGGAGGGTGTGTTTTGAAACAGAATAACAACACCAAGAAAACATTTAATAGAGACAGAAGGTAATAGCATTATAGCTCATAGCCGCACCTACTCACACAAGATATGCCAAACAAAAACATTTCTTTCTACAGCTCTAGTGAATTAACTAAACCATTTACACTTTGTATTGTGCTTTTAAGTATTCAAAGTGCTTCACCCATATTCTCTAACAGTATCTAATCTAATCGGGGAATCTGTCTTTAACGGGCCTCACAAATTCTACCTTTGAGATTCATCCAATATTCTTCCAAAGTATGTATCATTTATTTTTCATTACATTAGTGTAGCTCTAAATTGTCAAGGTAACTTGCAACAACAAATTTGTCAGTTTGGTTTGCACTATCCTACTACTATTTTAAAAAATTGCAAGAGAAGGGAAACAGAACTAAAAAGAATGGAGAAAAGATGGAGACAAAAAACATAGTTCCTCTCTGTAGTCATTAGAAACATTATCTGTAACCCAAAATGATTCATGTTTTGTCCTAAAAGAACATTGACTTACAGTACTAGGGAAATTAAATACCAAAATAATAATAATAATAATAATCCTATGATCATATTCAGTGCTTGACTATAGAACAGAAAATATCTGTAGCTCCTCTCCCCTACAAATCCTAAACAAAAGAATAGACTATTTCTAGGAACTCCTTGAAGTGTAAAAAAATATGTAAGTATAATGCCCTTCATATAGTAGGAACGAAACTCACACCAGCACTCAAGATCAAATTTAGAACTGTATTCTTTAATCCTTGTCCATAAACTAAATCTAACCTCTGCCCTATGTACAATAAATGAAGTGTACTAAAAGTAAAAATGTCATTTTTCTAAAAAAGAAACTATAGAATAGAGCAGAATAGAGCAAAAATATACACCTTTTTCTAAGAAAGAAGCACACAGGACCTTACAGTCCTATTGGAGACATTATCACTCAAATGACAAGCAAGGTCAGGACAAAAGCTAAATCTAATTTCATTTCCTTTACATCTACATTTAATTAATAATATAATTATTCTTCTATCATTTAAACATTACAGTATCATAATCATTCTGAAAGTTTCTGGGAGCCACTTGTAACACTTTCAGGCACTGTATGTAGCACTAGGACCTCAGCTATGCACCTTTAGATCAGGGCAAAAGACTATGGAGATGATCTACTCTTTTTCTCCCAGAGGGATACAGCACATTGTTATTATTTCTTTGTTTAGTGTGGAATGAATAAACAACTACTGCAAACTTAAAAACCTCCCTGACAATTTCTACTTTAAATCAGGAAGTGTACTCCCAGTCAAAGATTGTATTTTTATTAGCTAGAAGATTGAGCACATTTCTAAGAAAATCTAGATCAAATTAGAAAGGAAATAGGACAATGGCAGGGAAGAGCTGAACTTGCGGAATCAAACTATCAGCTCTTTTAGATTCCATTCTGCATCCAAGAAGTCAAAACCACCTTTATTTCTCCTCCTGTAGCTACCTGTCTCCCATTCATTTAATTTAAGAGACATTACCATCAGCATCTTCAATGTCCTTCTTCAGCAATATCATTTCTATTTTATCCCTTCTGTTTCTTTTGGTTTAATGTCTTATTCCTACCTCTATGGAAGATTGGATCTCTTCAGCGCAGATGAAAAACCCAGTCTCCTCCAGGAAATGAGCTTGCAGACTTTTCCGTCAAATATCTTCCCCTTAAAACAAGTTGGACTTGTTCCTTGTGATATGGCTGATGCATTGGCTAGTACACCTACTCAACACACACACGCCCTACATGTGGAAAGAAAAGAGAAGGAAGGAAGAACAGATATGAAACCCATTGAACATACAGGATAAAAGCTGGACTAGATGAAGGCAACAATCTGCACTTCAAAATATAGGAATGCTGCATACCTAACTATTCCCCATCAATTCCAAAATATATAGTAATACTTTAACATTGCCTTAGACAAGCGGTTCTCAACCTGTGGATCGCGACCCCATTTGGGGTCGAATGATCATTTCACGGGGGTCGCCAAACAATGCAATCCGGCATTTTTTTCCCCCTTTTCCTTAGCTGTTCTACTCCTTTTTATTCTATTGGCTTTTGAAAGCCAATAGATTAGACTTTCTTGAATAGAGTGTAATTCTATTGGCTTTCAAAAGACAATAGGAATTGTCCAGGCTGTCTCTGCCCTGCTGAGCCCGCCAAAAGTCCCATTCTTCAAACGGTGCTGCAAGTTGTCTGCAGTGAAGGCGAACTGTCTGGAAGTTTCCACCCCTCCCTGCTGAGCAACTACTAAAAATGTAAGTAAAAGAGGGCCAGGGGTGGGAGGTGGGAAGCCGGCGGGCGCAGGGAGGGTTGCTGGTGCGCGTGGGGCCCGGTAGGTGCCTTACCTCCCTTGGGCTGGGCCACTTGCCAGTTACGCCTCGGCCAGCACAGGGGGAGGCACCACGCATGTGCGGCGCTCCCGGGCAGGGAAAGTCCTCGACTTACGACTGGTTGGGTAGTCCTCGACTTACGACTGGTTGGGTAGTCCTCAACTTACGACCGGTTGGGGCATTAAAAAGGTTGAGAACAACTGCCTTAGTCTATTTATATTCCTTTATTTCAAATATTCAGTGTTCTTTTTATGTTAGATGATCAATCTGGAATATTCACTGCTTTTAGACCCTTGCTCACGGTTATTAAAACATTCTCTATAATCACCCATTAATTAAAATTCTTGACTTGTAATATTTAGACTTGTTAGAAATCTCTATAATAAGAAATTTTGGGACAAGACAGCATCTGCATTATTTTTAATACAATAATATTTTCAGTGTTTGAGTCAATGATATTGCAAAAATGAGGTCATTTTTTCTGTTCTTTTTATATTTAGAGGTCAGTATTTTTCAACTATTTCTTAAGTTCATTGTTTTGGGTGCCCTAAATCTATCAGAAAGATTAAAGTGCCTCATTTCTTTAGTTTCCTGATGTCACTGTTCCTGAAGTTCAACGTCAATGTTAGAGAGTTTGGTCTAGTGCACAGGTCGGCAACCTGCGGCTCCGGAGCCGCATGCGGCTCTTTGAGCCTTCCCCTGTGGCTCCCAGCCTCCTCTGCCTTTGCAGAGAGACAGAGACAGAGAGAGGCAATTGCGCTTCCCTGCGTCTCTCTCTCTCTCTCTCTCTCTCTCTCTCTCTCTGTGTGTGATTGTGTTTTTTGTGTGTGTATGTGTAAAAGAGAGTGCACTCACAGTGTTCTCCGAGGAGCTGAAAAGCTTACTGGGCGGAGCTCCTCCCTTTGCTGCGTCTCTGCAGGAAGCAGGAAGCAGGAAGGATAGGAGAGAGCTAGCTAGCCCAGCTAGGCTGACTCAGGAATTAGTAATAGTAATAGTAGTAAAGTTGGAAGGGACCTTGGAGGTCATCTAGTCCAACCCCCTGCTCGGGCAGGAAACCCTACACCATTTCGGACAAATGGCTGTCCAGTCTCTTCTTAAAAACTTCCAGTGTTGAAGCATTTACTGCTTCTGGAGGCAAGCTGTTCCACTGATTAATTGTTCTCACTGTCAGGAAGTTTCTCCTTAGTTCTAGGTTGCTTCTCTCCTTGATTAGTTTCCACCCGTTGCTTCTTGGAGATGAGGTTGCTTACCCCTGAGCTTGTTGGACAACAGCTTGAAGCTTGCCAGGTGAGCAGCAGATAGGAGGGGGGGGGAGAAAGAGAGAGAGAGAAAGAGAGAGAGGGAGGGAGGGAGAGATAGATAGATAGAGAGAGAGAGAGGAGTGGCAGACCAAGGGCAGATAGAGAGGAAGGGAGAGAGAGAGAGAGAGAGAGAGAGAGAGAGAGAGAGAGAGAGAGAGACCCTTTTGACATCTAAAATGAAGATAACACTGCATATATCCTTTTTTTACCTGTGTATGTAATTTTATTCTCTTAAAGCATTCTCTTGGTGATCATTGTTTTAATAGTATGGATATTCCCAAGATATTTTTACTTTTATTTTTAATGTGTGTGTGTGTGTGTGTGGGTGGGTGGGTGGGTGTATGTATAGTATGTATGTATGTATGTATACGTATACGTATACATATATATTTCGCGGGTATTTGTATGTAGGTCTTTGGTTGTTCGGGTTTTCTCCCGCGTACAATTGGAAGTGTCTTGGCAACGTTTCGACGAAGTCTCAATCGTCATCTTCAGGCTGGTGCTTTCAGCTTCGTGCTTTGAGCAGCAATGTGTGGTCTTAGCTGTTTCTTCCTTTTAACTGCCAGTGGGGGTATGAACTGATTGGGTGGGAGCTTGGCTGTGTTCTGATTGGGTGGAGGTGTGTTCTGAATGGCTAGGGGCTTGGCAAAGAATCATTCCCAGAGAGAAATCATCCAGATGCCCTAAACTCTATGGTCTCCCCAAGATACACAAAGAAGGAACCCCACTCAGACCTATAATCAGCTCCATAGGCTCACCTCTACAAAACCTAGCCAAATATCTCGCCAAACAACTACAGCCCTATGCAGAATCCATCACCTCACACGTAAAAAACTCATTCCAGTTTATAGAGATCATAAAGAAACAAAACTTACAGCCCAGCGACCTACTAGTGAGCTTCGATGTCATATCCCTCTTCACCCAAGTGCCTATCAAAGAAGCCTTGACAGCTATTCAAAACAAATATAACCCCCCCAAACACATCTTAGATCTGACCAACCACTGCCTATCCAACACATACTTCATCTATAATGGACAAAAATACAAACAAACAGAAGGAGCACCCATGGGATCACCCCTCTCACCTGTCATTGCCAACCTCTACATGGAACACTTTGAAACCCAAGCTCTAGAAAAATCGGATCACAAACCCAAACTCTGGCTCAGATACGTAGACGACACCTTCATAATCTGGCCACATGGGAAAGAAAAACTGGACAACTTCCTCACACACCTCAACAGCCTACACCCCAAAATACAGTTCACCATGGAAACAGAAGCTAACAACCAACTTCCCTTCCTGGATGTCTTAGTCTACAAGAAATCCAATGGCTCCCTAGGACACACCATCTACCAGAAGAAAACACACACAAACCGCTATCTGCACGCTCTCTCACACCACCACCCAGCACAGATCAACTCTGTAGCCAAGACACTCATCTCCAGAACAAAACGCTTAGCTGACGAACAACACCTAAAACCCGAACTACACACTCTCACCAATGTACTAACATCCAATGGATTCCATAGAAATAAGATTACAAACCTAATCCAAAAAGAAACCCCCACTAAAATCCAAGACAAAGAACAAGAAAACGGCAAAGCCCTCCTCCCATACATAAAAGGCACCACAGACAGAATCAGTAAGATCCTCCATAAACACAACATCAAAACAGCATTCTGCACAAACAGAAAAATATCCACCATCCTTAGAAACCCCAAAGATAAAATTGAATTAGAAAATCAAGGAGTATACGAAATCCCATGCACCACTTGTCCCACCACATACATCGGACAAACCAACAGAAGAATAAGTGCACGCATTGAAGAACATAAGAACTCAGTCAAAAAAGAGGAACCAACATCTTCCCTGGTCCAACACCTTAAAGCCACAGGACATGAAATTGACTTTAAAAATACCAGAACCATTGCCAAAAGTGAACATTTTAATAACAGAATAATCAGAGAAGCCATCGAGATAGAAAAACGCCCACACAGCATGAACAAGCGAGATGATACCTCCCGCCTACCAGCCATTTGGAAACCCGCCCTTATTGACAAACGACTCCCTAACACAAAAAATGATACCAGACCCACACTCACAAAAACCACACAGGAGTCACCACCACACATCCACGCAAAAAACAAACCCAAAGCCACACCGATGACGAGGCACGACCACAAACCAGAAGCCAGACCACAGCTGCATCATTAGCCACTTTAAACCCCTCCAATCCATACATGAAGCAAACTGACACCCTCCATGAAGAGGAGACAACCACGAACGAGAAGCCAAAAAATAGCAAGGCAGCCCAAAATCTTAAACCCCTCTGCAACTCAGACTAACCTGAGCACAACCAAACAGAACACTCCCCCAGCCAATCAGAGCACAGCCAAGCCCCTAACCATTCAGAACACACCTCCACCCAATCAGAACACAGCCAAGCTCCCACCCAATCAGTTCATACCCCCACTGGCAGTTAAAAGGAAGAAACAGCTAAGACCACACATTGCTGCTCAAAGTACGAAGCTGAAAGCACCAGCCTGAAGATGACGAATGAGACTTTGTCGAAACGTCGCTAAGACACTTCCAATTTTACGCGGGAGAAAACCCGAACAACCAAAGACCTACATATATATATATATATATATATATATATATATATATATACATACATACACACACACAAATGTCCATACACACACACACACACACACACACACACACACACACACACACACACCCCTATAATAAAGGTAAAAAAGGATATAGGCAGTGTTATCTTCATTTTAGATATCAAAAGGGTTTTGCGGCTCCTGGTGTTTTGTTTTTGGTGGGAAACGGGTCCAAGTGGCTCTTTGAGTGTTTTGGGTTGCCTACCCCTGGTCTAGTGGTTGGGCACCAGCATAGAAACCAAGAGAATGTGAGTTCTAATCCCACCTTAGATATGAAAGCCGGCTGGGTGACTTTGAGCCAGTTGGTCTCTTTCAATCCATTATGTCATGCTCAGGCAACAAGTCAGTTGGCCAATTTCTGTTGGAACCAATGGATTAGCATTTGATTGTTGTTGTTTTTTTTAAAAAAGTGGACCTTCTACTTGCAAGAAAGTGCTAAAAAAGAAAAAAAAGTCAAGTTTTGTTAATTTGGTGCCTAATTTCCATAATGTAATTCCACAGATCTTTTGCAGATTTCTTGCCCATTCTAATTACTGCCCTGTTCTAATTTATAATAATAATAATAATAATAATAATAATAATAATAATAATAATAATAACAACAACAACAACAACACCCCAGACTTAACAATTGTCGATAAGAAAGACAAAAAAGTCTGGATAGTGGACGTGGCAGTGCCTGGAGATAGCAGAATAGAAGAGAAAGAACTGGAGAAGATAACAAAATACAAAGACCTACAAATAGAAATAGAAAGACTGTGGCAAAAGCAAGCAAGGGTAGTACCAATAGTCATAGGCTCCTTGGGTGCAATCCCAAAACAACTGGAGCACCACTTGAACACCATTGGCACTGACAAATTCGCTATTAGTCAATTGCAAAAGGCGCCCTTATTAGGAACTGCTTCCATCCTGCGACGATATCTGTAATACCATCAAACATCCACATCTGCCTATCCCAGGTCCTGGGTAAGGACTCGATAGGTAGACAAAATGCCAAATCCAGCCTGAACATCTGGCTGACTGTGCGATGATCCATAATAATAATAGACATACTTTATCTACCAAGGCAAATAGGAGGGCGTGAAATGCTGCAAGTACATCAGATGGTTGAAGAAAAAAAAATGGCTTTGGAAGAATATCTGAAGGACAGTGATGAAAATGCACTGAAATTAATATATCAGGAAGGCTTAATGACTACTGGAGAGACCAAACTGGCCTACAAGAATGAAGAACAGAATAGAGGCATGGGAAGACAAAGCACCACATGGCCAGTACATTAAAAAAATAGCTGGGAAAGCAGATAATAAAAAGACCTGGCAATAGCTAAGAGCAGGAAAATTGAAGAAAGAAACTGAAGGACTAATTCTGGCTGCACGACCAAGCCTTAAGGACAAATGCATATAAAGTCAAAATTGAGAAGACAGCAACAGACAGTAAGTGCCGCCTATGCAAAGAAGCAGAAGAAACAGTGGACCACCTGGTAAGCTGCTGCAAGAAGATTGTCCAGACTGACTACAAGCAGCGGCATGACAAAGTAGCAATAATGGTGCACTGGAAGATCTGCAAGAAATATCATTCGCCTGTAAGCAAGAACTGGTGGAATCATAAAATAGAAAAAGTCATAGAAAATGATAAAATTAAACTGCTCTGGGACTTCAGACTTCAAACAGACAAGCACCTGCAACATAATACCCCGGACTTAACAACTGTCGATAAGAAAGACAAAAAAGTCTGGATAGTGGACGTGGCAGTGCCTGGAGACAGCAGAATAGACGAGAAAGAACTGGATAACAAAATACAAAAACCTACAAATAGAAATAGAAAGACCGTAGCAAAAGCAAGCAAGGGTAGTACCAATAGTAATAGGTGCCCTGTGTGCAATCCCAAAACAACTGGAGTACCACTTGAACACCATTGGCATTGACAAATTCACTATTAGTCAATTGCAAAAGGCGGTCTTACTAGGAACTGCTTCCATCCTGCGACAATATCTGTAATACAATAAAACATCTACATCTGCCTATCCAGGTCCTTGGTAAGGACTCAATAGGTAGACAAAATGCCAAATCCAGTCTGAACATCTGGCTGACTGTGCGATGATCCATAATAATAATAATAACAACAACAACAATAATAGAGTTGAAGGGACCTTGGAGGTCTTCTAGTCCAACCTTCTACTCAGGCAGGAAACCCTATACCATTTCAGACAAATGGCTGTCCAGTCTCTTCTTAAAAACTTCCAGTGTTGGAGCATTCACAGCTTCTGGAGGCAGGTTGTTCCACTGTCAGGAAGTTTCTCTTTAGTTCTAAGTTGCTTCTCTCTTTTATTAGTTTCCATCCATTACTTCTTGTCCTGCCTTCAGTTGCTTTGGAGAGTAGCTTGACTCCCTCTTCTTTGTGGCAACCTCTGAGATATTGGAACACTGCTATCATGTCATCCCTCGTCCTTCTCTTCATTAAACTAGACATACCCAGTTCCAGCAACCGTTCTTTATATGTTTTAGTCTCCAGTCCCCTACGTCTGTCATGTACTGCTGTAATCAGTTCAGAAGGATTTAAGAAGCACAAGCCTATCCTTAATTAGGGTTTTGTTAGCACTATATTTGTTAGAACTAGAATTAAGACTTTTAGGAGAAAGATGTGCAGCAACAAAGATGTATAACATGTAACAGGCAACAGAAAGCATGTTTTAGATTTATTCTTTCAGAAGAGATGGCTTAAACTATCCTCTTGGGCCATTTTTTTCATATTTCTCCCTATGAGTGGAAAATAAATTGAGCTGCTTGATTTGAATTACATAAAAAGTTCATGAACAAAGAGTTAAACACCACTCTCTGATAAATTGTGTACTCTTTTACAACTTTAGGGAAACTCACTTGCATTTCAATGTAACTTTGTTATGGTTCTTATTTCTTATTTGCAAGAGTTATTAGATTTATATTCCATCTTTTTTCCAGAAATTCAAAGAAACATATATAATATTCCTATTTTGTATTATTGTCCACAACAATCCTAGTGTACCCCGAACTTTATTTTCACAAAATCCAAATAATAAAAACATGTGTGGTAAGAAGAAGAGATGTAAAAACCATTCCTGCAGGCCGAGCTTTATTGATAAATGTTAATTACATATGCATTATATTTTTAACTCTCTCATCTTGGACTTCTCAGAGAAATATGGGGTTCTCAACTATGTTTCCAAACTGATGGTGCTTAACTCCATTGCTAAAAGACATTGTATGGCTATTTTTCTTCTCTGTCTCTCAACATGCAGTTCTGTGTGAAGATATTGTTGTTGTTGTTGTTGTTTTATCCTGCTTTTTATATACATCACTGCTACACCAAACTGGCTCTGACTACATATGAAAGCAAAGCAGTAATAATATGGGGGAGGGTGATTACAAAAGATGATGTGTCTGGATTACCCTGTATAAAAATCCTTCAATGAATCAGGAAGTAAATTTATGATGATCATCTCATCTTGCAATATTCCTAATATTTGCCATCCATTGAACAGACTCAAGTCAATTTAATTTCTGCAAGTGGCTTCATCATGTGCCCCCAGTCATATCAGTTGTTCTAGGGATTTACTGAGAGTAGATATCTAAAATAGCCAATATTACAGATTTCTTCTCTTTATTTGAAGTAAACACCACAGAATGAGATATGATTGTGGAAGAGTGGTATAGGAAACGCTGTTATATTCATCTTCTATTCCCCCCCTGCAATATACTAACAAGATAAGCAATAACCTGTGAAACATAATACCAAAAATTAACATCTTCTAATAGCTTAGTCCCCCTCCTCTTCCCTGTCTCTCTCTTCCCCCTTCCATCCTTCCTCAGCAGTGACCCAGGCCTGCTCACAACTCGGTACTTAATGTAATTAGGCCTTGAAGAAGCAGTGAGCTAGATCAGCTACTCTGCTCACCAACACACTTGGCATCCCCACCATTTGTCTCTAAACTGAAAAAGCAGCTACCGGTATAGTTATGCTCTAAACTGACAAGCTGCTATAGCATTTGCATGCTATAGCCATGCGAATCCTGGATAATAGTCAGAACAGAATGTTATTTTTGGACCACAAGACAAAGCCTCTTGCTCTCAGGGCAGCCAGGAGGCACATTATCCACCTGCTCTCAATAGACTCCCTTCTTTTTAAAGAATCCAGAAAGCCAGACTCTCCCCTAATTCATGAGATTTCTCCAACCCACCACCCAGCATCCTCCCCCTCCTTCTTATTGTAGATACAATACATTCGCATCTTCTTGATAAAACAACATCCTCGGCTCTTAGCTCAGCCTTTTTTCTCCGGGACCCAGAACGCCTGCACATGGCTTTGTTCTCGGATCCTCTATCCCTTATTCACTCACTAGGCCCAATCGACTAGACCCCTCACGGGAAGAGCTCAGGCATCCTGGGCAGTTCTCACCTTGCCGATTTGGGGCGACCTCCACTTCAGGGCAACCTGGCTCACTTCTGGATCCAGCCATGATCAAATCTCGGGACCGCCTCCGTCACCGCCAGCCCGCCCTCTGGGGTCCCTCTCCTTGATCCTCCTCTTCCTCCTCTTCTCCATCCTCTCTTTCCCGCGCTTCATTTGCCAGTCTCTGCACCGGTCTCTCCTCTTTCCTTGATTCCCTCCCCACGCCCACCCCAACTGTTCCTCTTCCCCCGCTTCAGCCTGCGTCCTTCAGCTCGTCGCCCCTCGCTCGGTCTTCGGCCTTAAGCAACATCTCCCGGCTTCCCATGCCGATCCCGGCGGTCCAATAATTCTCCCGAAATCCCGCGCGCCGTTTTATTACTCACAGGCCAGCCGCGCGGTTCGCCTATAATTACACTGCTGCGTCGGGCTTTGGAGATGGCCCGCAGCAGATTCGATGACGCTTGGAAATGGACAGCTGGATTTCCGGATTTCTTCAGGGACGAGGTGTGATTTCTAATTTTGCATTGCTCTCGGTTAGAGCAGTCCCTGGATTTCCAGCTCTCTGTATGCGTGAAGTGGTCAATTGATCAATTGACTTCTTGTGTGCCATCAAGTCGTTTTCGATGCCTAGCAACCACATTGAATTATTTTCCTCATAACGACCTGTCGCTAATCTGTATTTTGAAGTTTTGCAACGATGCTGTAACTGAGTTACTCTCTTCTGTTTCCTTCCATTTTTCTCTGTATTAGATCCTTCTCCAGAAAACAAGATCTTTACATAAAGTGTCTGAAGTAGAATAATTTGACCCTGGTCATTTGTGACTTGACTGAAACCTCTAGGTTCAGTGAGCTGTTTGTTTATTTTTTTGGTTGTCCAAATTTTCCCAGGAATCCTTCCCAACATCAAAGTTTAAACATGTTAATACTCTTCCTATCTTGCTTCTTCAAAATCCAACTTTCACTCCCATAATATGCCACAGAGAATATGATAGAATACCATGGCTTACACAATTCTGATCTTTGTAGACACATCCTGCATTTGAATAGCTTGTTCAGGCTTGCCCAGCTGCTGTGTGTGTGTATGGGGGGGGGGGCAACATGAAGTTGCTTCTCCCTGTTTATTAGAATATTTTTCTGGACTTAACAGACATAATTTCATGTGGGGGCTTTAAATTCATTGTTAGAGTGAGTTAGTGGAAAACTTTGAAGCTACTCTCTGTAGTTTACTTGCTTCTTTATACTTAAAGTAGTTACATTTGGGGGGAAATTAATTTTCTGTAATTCTGGGACAGCTTTTTCCAACCTGCTGTGGTCTGTCATACCTCCCCAGTTTAACAACTGGCAAGGAAATCTGTCCATATTTCATGAGTCTGCACAAACTCTAAGGCATTTTTCAGACTGTGTTATTTTGTACCTTGTAACTGCTAAATTATATTTTGAATAATCATTCAAATTAAAGCACTTTGCATATATAGGCTTCATTTATTTTTGATAAAATCCTCACATAAAGCACATTTGTATAAATTAGAGATACTGGATCAGTGGGGAAAAATGATTGTAGGATATGTTGTCAAATTTATTGGGACATGTTCATAGATTTTTAAGCACTGAATTATTCAAAGTTGTTTTCTTGTCCCATAGAACATAGAACTTCAGATTTGGAAGGGACCTTGAAAGTCTTCTAGTCCAGGGGTCCCCAACCCCTGGTCCATAGACCAGTACCGGACTGCGGCATGCCAACAACCAGTTTGCACAAACAAGGAAAGCCCCATGCACAGGATGCAGGCAGCACACAAAACCATGCCCTCTCGGTCCACGGAAAAACCTCTCTCCTGTAACCAGTCCCTGGTGCCCAAAAGGTTGGGGACCTCTGTTCTAGTGCAACCCCCTGCTCAAGCAGGAAACCCTGTATCATTTCAGACAAAGAGCTGTCCAATCTCTTCTTAAAAGCTTCCAATGAGAACCCCCAACTTCTGAAGGCAAGCTGTTCCACTGATTAATTGTTCTCACTGTCAGGAAATTTGTCCTTAGTTCTAAGTTGCTTCTCTCCTTGGTTAGTTTCTATCCATTTCTTCTTGTCCTGCCTTCAGGTGCTTTGGAGAATACATTGATTGCTTCTTTTTTGTGGTAGCTCCTCAAATATGGGAACACTGCTATCCTGTCATCCCCTAGTCCAGTGGTGGTGAACCTATGGCACGCATGCCAGAGGCGGCACTTGGAGCCCTCTCTGTGGGCACATTGCCCCAACCTCGCTTGCCCCCCATGAACCCCTCTTCACCACCAGCCCCCCTGGAGGAGAGTTGCCCCTGAGCGTGGCCCACACGGAGCAGCGCAGCCAAGGACATGGCAGCCAGGCAGTGTAGACAAGACTCTGCCCTCACACCCCATCCCGCACAGTTGATGCTGCGGGCACGGGCAGAGGGCGTAGCCGCCATGGCGCTGCTGGGCTGCCAGGGCGATTTGTGGCGGGCCCTGGAGGTGGTGAGTAGCCCTGCGGGCAGGCGGGGTGGGGGACAGGATGGAGGAGGAATAGGTGGGGCAGGGGGTGGAGCGGGGTGGGGCCAGTTTTGGGGTACTCGGTTTCTAAAAGGTTTGCCATCACTGCCCTAGTCCTTCTTTTTACTAAATTACACATGCCCAATTCCTGCAACTGTTCTACATATGTTTTAGCTTCCAGCCTCCTAATCATCATTGCTCTTCTCTGCATTCTTTCCAGAGGCATATATACAGCGAAAGCATTTTCCTTCTCCTTTTTACAATTGAAATCTTTAATGCATATGATTATCATGGCAGACAAAGAGCTAAGAATGCTCATGACACTGTGAACTTTATTGGCATTCTTTGTTATGTTGTGTATGGTACATTCACTCAGGTTAACAGTTCGTCCTAGGGATGAGGATCTGTAATGGAATGTGTGGGTGACCTTGGGGAATGGGGGGGAAACAGACAAGAGAGGCAGGAGCCCCAGTAGCTTAACAGTCAAAGAGACACTTAGGACAGGTCTGCTCTAATTTTTCCAAATTTTTTCCACTCTGTTCCAATGTGGGAACAGAAAGTTCATACTTGGAAGATTTTATGTAGCTTTGCAATAAATTAGAATTCCTTGCTAGTCAGATTTCCTGTCTGGTTTACCTGAGAGTCTGACATCAATCTTGCAAGACTGAAGGTGAAAACGTTCCATTGCCACTTTTAACTACTTGATGCATTAGGGTGAATCCAACCAGTTTTTTTTCTCTGACCCTTGAGCCACTGAAGGGTCCTGCCTTTCTTGTCTGATTTTTTCCTAAACCTTTGTGATTCTTTTTTTCACATAAAGCGAATTCTTGGATAAAAATGACCATTTGCATAATAGTGAATTTGCATAAAGCAAGAGAAACATATACATGACATTGCAAGGATGGCATTTCCTGGGGGGGGGGGAATCTGCTTGCCAACCAAATATCTTTGTTCACAACAATTTTGATCTTCCATTATAATGGCCTGTGTTATTGAAGAAAAGTCAGTTTCAGAATAATTCAGAATAGTTCAAACAAGGAGAAATCAAGTCTTCAGCAATATATAGTAACAATGAAAGATGAAAATCCTGTAGAAAGATGTTACAAATGAGGTTGCCTACTTATACCTAAAATATTGAGAGATGGGTCATCAGAACTGTATTAAAATCAATTGCATAGGGGAAAACAATGGAAAGTTATAAAGTTATGTCATCTAATTAAGACATATGCTTTTTAATTATAAATAAGACCAAAGGGTTGGGTTTTAAGAAAAATAACTTTAGTCATACTCAGAAAGAGTTCTTATACTTGATTCAGAGCCATTTCTCACTACTGGGCTGAAATGCTGTCTACTATTAAATTTATTGTCCCTGCTGTCAATCATTCTTCTGTCCCAATGCCTGTATTCCCAATAATACCAGTTATCTAATTTCCTTTCAAGGTAATAGGGAAAAAAGCCTAATAGAATTTAGAAGGTTGAAGGTATCTTTGAATGATGTTAAAGAAGAAAATACTTGTAATACTTTTCTTGAATGTCACTGAGACAGTTAGGGATAACTTGAGTTTGTCATCAATTGGGTTGAAATGAAGTGAGGGTTATAGGGATACAACCACTCCCAAATGTCTGGGCTATGTTTGTCTTATGGCTAAGGTTCTTTAGAAATAATAATGTATAGACACATATTTAATTATAATCACTTTTCTCTGCTTCTCTGTAATCTAGAGATTGTGGCATGAAATTTCACTAGTATCTTGTTGCTGAGTCCATCTCTTATATGAAAAAGGGCATTATTTGTTTGTCCTAATCTATCACCAATTTTATTCAACCACCACCAATTTTATTAATGTAGATACATAATAATGGAAATAGCCAAGTTAAAATCTCCATTCAAGATGGAGACCTTGACCAAACCTTATTTTTCAACCTGGTTTATGTCATTGGGTAAGGATAAAGTAGAAAGGAGCCTAAAACAGATTGAGTCAATAAACTTAATGAAATAATTTTAATATGTGATTTGGGAAATATGAAAATACTAAAGCTGCTTACATAGTTTTTTAGCTAACAAAAATGATGGAAAGTATCTTTTCATAATTAATTTCAACCAATGGATTAACCCTTGATTGGTTTTTTAAAAAAGTGGATTCTGCTAAGTTATTTAGAAGTATTATGAGTCTCCAAATGTTAGTGAATAGCATGAGGTTAGTAAAGTGTCCGCTGATCAATTTATCTGAACTCTAAGCATTTTGAATGTGTGCAACAGTCAACCTAAAAAATTCAAGGTCATCTCATTTTTGCATTTGTTCAGAAGAAAAGCAACTAAGGTTTGTAAGGTCATTTGCAGGAATTCCTTCCTTCAGTATCCATTTATTTCCAGTCTGGAGGTTCTGTAGCATTTCCAGCCTTAGCAGGATACCCAAAGCTAAATTGCTTCCAATATAGGTAACCTGGTAGTGCTAATTAACATATGCTATAGGAGAAATGGGGCTTTTAGCTAAAGTCAGAGAAGGGCTAAAAAACCAGCATCCATTCTCAACCACTCTTTTCAGCTATAGTACAGTTTGGAGATAGGCACAAAAACACCATTTATAACTCCAAATTGTTTACTTACAAGTTCCTCTCAAAACAAATCCATTATGCACAGATGAAACACAGAATCCAACAAGTCAGAAATGCCTCAGAGGAACTGTTTGATTTAAACGTCCTCCCCCCCCCCCAGGTCCACAGTGCTAACGTGG